TTCCAACCATTAGTCTTCAAGTTATACTCTGAACAAAAGAAAGCAATGGAAAAATAACAAAGGGTAATAACTCTGTAATTACTTTAAATAGAGTTATGTTTTTTTGTGTACTGCACTTCCCCTTATTGTGCTTGACAACTGTATGAAGTTGTTTTGAATTCCAACCAGTAGTTTTCAAGTTATGCTCTGGACAAGGAAAAGTAACAAAGGGCAATAACTTTGTAATTAGTCAAGATTGAATTATGGTTCTTGTGCACTGCACTTCCTCTCAATGTGCTTGACCATTGTATGAAGTTATATTGAATTCCAACCATTAGTCTTCAAGTTATGCTCCGGACAAGGAAAATGCAACGGACCACTGGACTGACTGACCGACCACCGGGTGACTCCTATGTACCCCCCCCCCCAAACTTTGTTTCGGGGGTATAAAATTAAGTTTATTTTTTGTGCCTAGATGTACAATGAAGTTATGAACTGTTAATATAATATTGAATTTATATTTAATTACTTATTGACTAATATTCAATTTTCAAACATCATTATTATGTTCAGTAAAGTATTATAGAACAGTATTGGTTACTTGATGAACCAGTTATTATCTGTATCTTATTATGTATGAAAAAAACATCAAGGGTCTCTCTCTCTCTGTTTTGGGAAACCAGTACCTGTACCTACAAAAGGGTGGATTAGTTAAAGTGTCAGACGGGCAACTCATTCAGATCTGAAATGAAATAAATAAATCTTCCTGCATTTACAACACTTAATTTAAAATGCTTGAAACAATTATAAATTGTCCACTATACACAATTTTATAAGCCCCAATGATCATTATGTACAATAGACAGTCAATATGCAACAAACTTATATTTATCTGTCATATAGGATTCGATTTATTATGGCTTAAATGACAACATTAAAAAAACGTTTCAAAGAGGGACAATTTGGTCTTGACGTTGTATTAATCTTAACAAGAGCTGTCACAGGAGACAGCCAAGCAAATACTGGACGCAGTAAGGAGGACAAAACTAAGAAAGAAAAACCAATTATGTATAATTATGTGTTAAGTTATAGTAAAAAAATATCATTTGTTAACATAAATTCCAAGATCAAGGGGAATAATTCTAGAAATAGTCATGCTAGAGTTATGAACCTTGTCACACAACATGTGTATAATGATAAGAAATATATATTTGAAGTTTGAAGTAAATACCTTAAAAAGTAAAGAAGTTATAATATTTCTTAAAGAAAATCCTAAGTTCAAAGAAAGATAAATCTGTAAATATTGCTTCAAGAGTTACAAATATTGTCACATAAAATGTAATTGATGATAAGGAATAAGTATTTAAAGTTTAAGGTTGATACCTTTAAAAATAAAAAAGTTATAGTAACAAATAACATTTTCCTAGTAAAAAAAATCTAAGTTTATGGGGAGATAATTCTTGCAATATTAGTGCTAGAGTTATGAACCTTGTCACATAAGAAGTGGATGACAATAAGGTACATATATTTGAAGTATGAAGTTGATCCCTTTAGAAATAAATAAGTTACAGTAAAAAATAATATTTTTTAAGGAAAATTCTAAGTTCAAGGGGAGATTAATCTGAAAATATTGGTGCTAGAGTTATGAACCTTGTCACATAAGATGGGGATGATGATAAGGTACATATATTTGAAGAATGAGGTTGATCCCTTAAGAAATAAAGAAGTAACAGTAAAAAATAGTATCTTTTTAGGAAAATTCTACGTTCAAGGGGAGATAAATCTGAAAATATTGGTGCTAGAGTTATGAACCTTGTCACATAAGATGGGGACAATGATAAGGTACATATATTTGAAGTATGAGGTTGATCCCTTAAGAAATAAAGAAGTAACAGTAAAAAATAGTACTTTTTAAGGAAAATTCTAAGTTCAAGGGGAGATAAATCTGAAAAATATTGGTGCTAGAGTTATGAACCTTGTCACATAAGATATGGTTGATGATAAGGAACATATATTTGAAGTTTGAAGTTGATACCTTAAGAAATGACAAAGTTATAGTGAAAAATATTTTACTGCACCAAAACTTTAATCTGAAATCTGGACGCGGATGCCGGGGCGAGTAGGACAGCTCTCCATATACTTTGTATAGTCAAGCTAAAAAGCACATTGTTGGGTTTGGCATACATGTATTTTATAGAAAAACTACTTTTTTTATATTGCATCAGGTTAGTTGAATAAAACATGGTAAAATAAGGAACAACATAAAAATAACATGTGCATGGTTGCTAGGATACAAGCAGACTTAATTCCTAAACTTACAAAAATTAGCTTACAATCACATCTTTATAAAATGCTCTATACATTTATTAAAATTGCAAATGTTTGGATATTTGACATGTCATAACTATATACATGTACATTTATTTGATTTGAAGCATGAACAATACATCATTTTACTTTCATCCAGAAACTAAGAGGGTAATTAAGGTCTAGTTAATGAATAAACAAATACTACATCGATCATGATCCATGGAGAAGTCAAATAACAGTCAGGCCCACACACTGAAAAATTACAACCATTTGGCTAAGCAAAAATCCCCAAGCTGTCCATTTTAAAAAATTGAACATGAAATACCAAATGACAACTACTTTCATATTCGGTTTATTTCTCATTGATTAAAATATTAAAATTTTTACTGTAGTCTAGAAAAAAGGGATGAGGGTAGTCCAATATATTAGATGTTACAGGCTTGTTATAGTTTATGTCGGTCAAGCCTGACGTCTAATAGTTATTGCTCAAAAACGCATAGCATCATAAAAAATTCAAAAAATGTCTATTGTCTTGCCTTTCAAGCTTTATTCAAAAGCTTATCTTCTTTTCTTTCAATTTCATGCTCAATCATACACAAAAATTCTCAAACAATGTACTTATCAATTTAAATAAAATATAAACATTAATCTATTTTTGTCTATCAGCCATACTGGTTAAGCAAGGTGCTTTACAGATTGATTCCAAGTTTTCGAACGGAAAAATATATTCAAATACACTGACGGTGCATGGGCAATTATTTCGTTAAAAAAAATATTCCGTTAGATTGTTCTGATTCAGTTAAACGCTTGCATTTGAATTAGCCAATCAGATTTCGCGCACTTTATGGCCGCCATTTGTTTATCGGCTGTAAAAAGAATTGAAATACATGAGAGGATATAATCATGATTTTTCGGATGTGACAGTTTAATTATTTTGACAAAAGGTATTTATTTTTTAGTTTTGTTCATAAATAGGTCAAAACTTATGTAAATACACGCTGTCTTCAATGTTTTTTGTTCCGCCTGATTTTCTGGCAGAACATGCTATGGGTTTTTGAGCAATTTCGATATGACGTTGCTTTGCCCAGAAGCAAAAATATCTCAAAGCGACGTCATATTTATAGGACTAGGATGAGGGGTGAAGTGTTTTACTGAATAATTATGGGGATGGAGTGTCTTGAGGAGTAAAGTGTCTTCAAAACTGAGGCGTGAAGTGTGTGGGGTGAAGTGCCTTGTTCCCTTGTTCACTTTTTCTAACCAGGAATCAAATTACTTACAACGTTTGTTTTATTCAAAACTTAAACAGAGTTATAGAAACAGTTATATAGGTTTGTTTTTGAAAATGCAAGATGACAAAAATATGTTTAATATTTTCCAATTAAGAGCTTGCATTAGTTGTTATAAAATAACTGACATAATTTATAAACAAAAAATTGACATGAAAATCAATTTTCGAAAAAATCGAAACTGAAACCTAAATTTCGCGATAATTTTTTCTGATTTGAACTTTTTACACGGTGCATATCCATATCGGTACCCTCTTTGCGAAATCTGCTGAAACGGTACCCTCTCTGAACATGCACAGGTCATTCTCTGCTAAAAACAAACCAGCGATGGACACCAATCCAGTAAATTTTCATTGTAATAAGGAAAGGAGGTATGTCACGTAGAAAAGATGTATACCACGGAACACTAGGATGTTTTATTTAAGTGCTGATTTGTCATGTGCCCGATTTTCATGTACTGCAACTTCACAATAAGCTACAAAAAATCGACATGTCTTGCTTCGCCCATCACCTCGACATTTTTTTCGGGCTGAAATGAACCTGTGGCTTGATAATATATGCATCATACATATTTAATATGTTCATATACATATCATCTTCGGACAAATGGCAGTATATTGTCAAAAATAAATGTAAAATTCATAAAAACACCCTACTTTCGGTTTTGCAGCGGCACGGGCTACCTCTCTTCATTTGAATTTTTATGTCACAGGTACCCTCTCATTATTGAACACATAGGTACCCTCAAAGCACGACATATGCTTTTATTTGCGTTAATCGTTAAGTGTGTATGTAATACTTTTTACTTTTATGTAAATATTACATACTTAACGATTAACGCAATAAAAAGCATATGTCGTGCTTTGAGGGTACCTATGTGTTAAAAAATGAGAGGGTACCTGTGATTTAAAAATTCAAATGAAGAGAGGTAGCCCGTGCCGCTGCAAAACCGAAAGTAGGGTGTTTTTATGAATTTTACATTTATTTTTGACAATATACTGCCATTTGTCCGAAGATGATATGTATATGAACATATTAAATATGTATGATGCATATATAATCAAGCCACAGGTTCATTTCAGCCCGAAAAATATGTCGAGGTGATGGGCAAAGCAAGACATGTCGATTTTTTGTAGCTTATTGTGAAGTTTCAGTACATGAAAATCGGGCACATGATAAATCAGCACATAAATAAAACATCCTAGTGTTCCGTGGTATACATCTTTTCTACGTGTCATATCTCCTTTCCTTATTACAATGAAATTTTACTGGATTGTTATCCATCGCTGGTTTGTTTTTAGCAGAGAATGACCTGTGCATGTTCAGAGAGGGTACCGTTTCAGCAGATTTCGCAAAGAGGGTACCGATATGGATATGCACCGTGTTTTATGAAAGTAATGATGCAATCAATAATAAAACAAATACCTGTGAGTATCGGCTGGATAACTCCATTCTGTGCTTTATGCTGAATTCGTTGAAATCTGTCGTCCCCAGACATGCTTACTGTTTGACAGCTGATCAGTAAATGAACCGACAGACGATTGATTATCTGAGACGTTTGAACAAACAAGCGTTTGACTGACAAATAAGAAAGAATTACGGACAGGGCGGACCGCGAGACAGGGCGGACCGTGACTCGAGACTAGGCGGACCGTATTTTTGGACAGGGCGGACCGTCACTCGAGACGAGGCGGACCGTGATTTAAAAAAAGTATTTATATGTGGACTAATGTAATTATTGATGTTTTTGTTCTTCGTATTGATATTTCAATTCAAATATTCAATTAAAAATATAAAATACAGTAAGTTTTAAAAGTTCTTTGATGTGTCTTATTGTTTAATAAATTCTAGTTCAGTGTTCATTTTATTTCATGTGTCTTTGCTTATTATGTAAATTTTAATAAGATAGTTTTGTTTTTCAAATATGTCACTTCATTTTTTTATTATTGTGTTGAATTGCAAATAATTTTAATGTGATGTTATTCGTTATCATTGTTATTTCGTGTATTGTACAACAAAATATGTTTTTTATGTGTCTAATTGTTTAATAAAGTTTATCAATTTTAGCAGCGTTAGCGCCTTATACAAACAATAACATTGTTATATCCCGATAATTGGTCAATTATCACTTGCGTAAGTCGACGCAGTTACAAATAATTTCTTGAGAATTTTTTTTTTTAAACTACTCTAATATACTGAAACAAAAAAGAAACTTTCTCCAAGTTTGAATGTAGATATGTTAGTACAGTTTTTCAATCCTTTTGAAACTCGATTTTTACGTTGAATAAACATTTCGGGCTTTTATACGGGGATTAGCTGACCGATTTTGCAAACAAAACGAGTTTTACGAGCTACTACATATATACAAGTGTGTACATCTATGTGGTACCCTTGACAACTGGCACATGATACTTTGCGAAAGTTTCCTTTTTTGGTTCAGTATATATATGTTTCATATGTTACATAGAAAGGTTAGATTGAAATATTATAAAGAATACCAAAATCATCCACAATTAAATACTTTCGTCTCGAGTGACATCGTCCATTCAGCAAATTAATATTCAATTAAACATGAACTTTTAAAATTTATTTTATATTTTTACTTTTATATATGCATTGAAATATTAAAACGAAAATGGGTTAACAGAAAATGATGAAAAAACGAAATTACCAAAAACGCGTTTTTCCATGTTAAAACATGGCCTCACATATAATTTTGAAGAAAAATTGCTGTTTTGTAGATTTTTTGATTTTTTTCATTAATTAATGCGGTATGTGCATCGAAAAAAAGCTTATTAGCAACATGCAGTTACAATACAAAAAGTTATGATTTAGTACCACAAAATTTCACTATAAATAGAGAAATGAACATGAAAAACTTCATTTTTCTATATTCATGCATTTATAGTGAAATTTTGTCGTAATAAATCATCACTTTTTGTATTGTAACTGCATGTTGCTAAAAAGCTTTTTTCGATGCACACACCGCATTAATAACTTTTCTATCTTGAGAAAATATTAGAAATGATAGTTTAACGTCTCAATTCCGACTAAAAGGACGCAAAGAAAAGAGGAATTGATAAAAGATTGAACTTGATTTTCTGTCAGAATGTTAGCCACTTTCATGGTATTTCTGCCATCGACGGCAGCATTTATAATATGTATCTGCCTACAACGGCAGCATTTTTTCTTCGACCGGACAAGATTGAGCGTCTGTAAAACTTTCAAGAAAAGACTCACGGGGTAGATATTTGGCTTGCGTGACCCCAATGGATGAACGTCTATATTGATAACAGGAAATCCTGCCATTTACTTAAAACTTGAGATATTTTGAACAGAAAACAGACATTTTCACGGATTTTTCTAAGGCTTTCACTTTTAACCTGCTCAAAATAGTTTGAAAACAGGAAAAAGGCGAGTCCAAAATTACCTTACAGTATCTCCATTCAATGGACAATAGTTTTATAGCAATGAAATGGGCCGTATTTGTGTAATATAATTAAACCAACCAAATTTATAACCTACCTGTATCGATCGGTAATTTTCAGATATCTGCCATCACTGCATTGATCTGCCATCACTGCCGCCGGTAATACGGTGTGCTATTTCTTTTAATATTTTTCAAGTCCATTTGGCTGAAGCATACAAATGACCTAATTGGTGTCATTTCTTTTGTAAATATCATATTATTGTAACACTGCATACTCTAGTTTTCTTGAAATCTTGACGTTAAATACTGATGTATTAAAAAAATAGAAATCAGCATGAAAAACAACTAAATTGATTATTTCACAACATATTAGACAAAACACTATAAAGTTACGACAAAGAAGATCATTTGAAAGTATTACAGCTTTCTTTAAAACAAATGGTATCTGAAGAAACTGTCATTCAAGTACTTCTGGATCTCTACAAACGTATATTTCTTTACACATAGGTGTAGATTTTTTGAAACTTGTATCAATTGATTCTTCTGTCTGCGGAAACATTAGGAACATAATATTATCGTTTTGTTTCATTGTTTAACTAAAAAGAAATTAAATGATGTGATTCGGATTGCCTTAGATTCGGATTGCCTACACATACTGTACCATTTTAAAACGTGGCCATGGTAATTTCATTATCAAATATTTTCTGTCAAATGACATTAAAATAGTATTTGAAAAACATTGTAAACCCATCTTCTTGCTGAATAACCCAAACAAAGGAATACAAATGAATAACAAAACACAGAATTACCAAATTAAATGTATACTTTTTATGCAATTATAGCCCGTTTGTACCTTTTTATCCCAATCACAATTACCTAGACAGAGAATATTCCCTGAATGACAGATGGGGGCTCTGTCCATAACCTTAGTTCAAAGTTATAGAAGTATCTTATAATTATTTTGCTTTATCAAATTCTACGAATTTAACGTAATAAAAACAACAAATATTAAGACTATCTTGGTTACAATTAAGTCGGATTTATACGCAGTTTTTCATAATTGTTTTAACTAATCATTTGAGCCGTGTCACGACAAAAACCAACATAGTGCCTTTGCGCCCCAGCATGGATTCAGACCAGCCTGCGCATCTGCGCAGTCTGATCAGGATCCATGCTGTTCGCTATCAGTTTATCTACTTGTAATAGAGTTGGTAAGCGAACAGCACGGATCCTGATCAGACTGCGCAGATGCGCAGGCTGGTCTGGATCCATGCTGGTCGCAAACGCACTATGTTGGTTTGTTGTGACGCGGCTTCATTTGTTTAGATACAAAAGGGACAATAAATATATATTTTAAGCAAAGACAAATATCTCGAAGAATCTAAATGTATTTTCAATCATATAATTATCATTATAAACCTCAAAATTAGTAAAGTTTCTAACTTTTATAGTCAAGTTGAAAATGAGTATGCCATGGTAAGTTACTACATTGTATTTATTGAGCACTTTTTACATGGCTAAAACAAAGACAAAATGTTTGAAAAAAACAGTATGGCCACAATTACTAGTATTGAGTGTCTTAATTAAAACTCATTTGAGTTGAAAAAATAGAACATGATATGTTATTCCTTATTGCGTATACTCTTCATGTTCTAAAGTTCAAATGTTGCTGATGTTGTAAATTCAACATTTAAGATAAAATATAGATTTCTGATCAGACCTTTTTCACTACCAAATCATCTGTTTAATCAGTCTGACTTAACTTAAGTTCAGATATACTTAGGTAATTTCTTGCAATTACCTTAATTTAATATTTTTATATATACCATTCATAACATTTTAGCAGTATTAGAGAATATAGATATTTAATATTACTTAATTACAATATGAAAACGAAGAAATAATTGATATACAATGTATATTAATTCACTAAACAGTTATTCATTTTAAATTAAATAAGGCAGAGCACACAAAAACCAATGTCTAATATAAACTAACTCGTCAAAAATAAAATTAAGGAGAATTCAACACAATTGTTAAGTCAACCAGGCGCATGCAGTTAAAATTTTATGAAATTATGGCTATAATATTCCAACAAGACATAAATTCTTTTATAGCTGTGCAAGTCGTTATGACCCTGTGTAATTATGGGTGTAAATATGAATGACCGAATATATACATATTTGTATGTTATTATTTATCTATTTTTATGAAGCATATCGAACCATATAAATCATGTATATACTTTACTCAAACATATTACTCACACATAAAATGATTCAAGGCGACCATTTTAAAGAAGAATTTAAGTAAAATATCAAAACATTAAAATAATGATATTATTGAAATTGGCACGCCATTTTTATATCGTCTATATGTGATGGTAAATGGGAGATAACCCCTATAAAAATGTGCTTTAGTGCGTAAACCAACTGGTTTTATGCTTATTCTTTTGAATAATTGATTTATTGTTAGATTATTCATACCTGTGTTTATGCGCTTAGTTGAGCGGTTTGCAACGGTTAACTTAACTGTTTCTTTTTTATCAAAATTTTACAAATTATTCGGTATAAACGAATTTTATAGTGCTATATAATTTTGTCAGTTAGTACGTAATAAATGTATTTATATCTTAGTTAGTAAGCTATATATTTTTGTTAAATTTGTAAATATACTGTTTATTGGATTAAGTACGCTATGTTAAAAGTATGAAAACAAATAAAATATTCGAACCTTCTCAGCAAAATATTTGCTTATTTGTAGTACAAGATTGACAATAAACTGTTGACTATAAATTGTATGTGGTTTGAAAAGTATGTAAATGTTATGTTTTTGTCTTACGTTACGTTTGCGTTACGTTACATTCCGTTATGTTATATTTTGTTTGTTATGAACGCACAATTATTATACATGTATATGTATTTTGCTACTGCCAAGTTTTTGCGTTTTGTAAGTTTGCTACTGCATCTTCTGCTACTGCTAAGTGATATTATTAATATTTTTAGCATCAGAATATATCATTTTTTTTTATTGGCGCTATCCTATTCTATTCAATCTACTTTAATGTAAGAAACAAAGTTATTTAGAAATAACCACATCTGATATCTTTGCATATATCTTCGAATCAGTGTATATATCAACATAAAAATGCTATACTAAATGTACCGCTGAAAATAAGTACAGACACTCTTGTT